CGCACAGCGGCTGGGCCTGTTGCAGTTGAAGTGGCAGATCTTCGTATCTTGCATGCAACATCTCGTCGTCTTGTTGTACGCTGGGCCAACCCGAGTATTCACATCATCTTTGTGGTTGCTCACGCACCAGATGATGACGATGATGATGCTCTCCAATCATTTTGGGATGCCACCACAGCGGCTATTCCTCCTGCGTATCGCAATTGGACCACTGTGGCCTTGATGGACACCAACAGTCGTGTTGGCGGTATCCAATCTGATGCGATTGGTCCACATCAAGCAGATCCTGAAAACAACAAGGGTACTTTTCTGCATAGTTGGCTCACACAACACGATTTGTTTCTTCCCCAGACGTGGGAACAATATCATCGTGGTCCTGCTGCAACATGGACACATCCTACAGGCGCTGTTGCTCGCATGGATTTTATTGCAGTTTCATCAGATCTGGCATCAAGCCCTATCACCACATGGGTTGCCAGCGACATTGACCTTGCAATCTCTCGACAAGATCATGCTTGTGTTTGTGCTGACCTAGCCCTCTCCTTTTATGAGGTGGATCGTAGGGAACGTGACTCTCGTTTGTCGGAGAAATCTTCGTTGGTGCCTCCTGACGTACCCTGGGCTACTGATGTGCACACTCACGCAGCTCGTCTACAAGGTTGGCTCCGAGCGGGCAGACCCAAAGAGCGCAAATGGCGCAAAGCGCATTTAACACCTGCCACCAAAACTCTTATCGAAGCCAAGCGTCATCACTGGAAGCGCATTGGAGAAATTCGGCGCTCAGTTCGTCATGGTTTTCTTCAACAGATGTTTCAAGCCTGGCGTACCAAGAAGCGCACTGACGTCTCCTATCGACCCTGGCTTCGTCATTGTGATCATTCTTTGGCATGGCATCTTTGGGTGTATGCTGACCTAGCCCCTCGTGTTGTTGCCGCAGTACGAGAAGATGACGCCCAATTTTATGCCAGCCTGGCTGAGCAGGCGGGTGAAGCATCGCGAAAGGGTTGCCAGGCCTTGTGGGCTGCGATCCAACACGCCTTGCCAAGATGGCGATGCAAGAGACGTGTTAACCTTCGTTGCACAGGTCCAACGATTGCAGAGCAACTCCATCATTATGATGCTCTTGAGGCAGGCTCTGCGACTACCTTTGAGACGCTCTTGGATGCCTGCCACACACATCAACGTGATGCAGCAGATGAATTGCCTCTTGCAGTTTCTCTTGCCGACCTACCTTCCAGACTGGATGTTGAGATGCATGGTTGTCGCATCAAAACCAACAAGGCAGCGGGCATTGATTCAGTCCCGCCGGCAATCTTGAAGTCAGCTTGTCATCAACATGCTGACATCTTGCATCGCCTGATGTTGAAAATCTGGCTCCTTGGAGCCGAACCGATACAATGCAAGGGAGGCATTCTCCATCCGATTGCGAAAAAGGAGGCCAGTCAGAACATAGATGGCATGAGGGGTATCATGCTTATTGATGGGATTGGCAAATTGATCCACTCTCATCTTCGTCGCCAATTTGTCCCTCAACTACAACAGGTTCGATTACCGATGCAGTTGGGTGGCTTTGCACGGTGTTCGACGCTGTTTGCCACACAGTATGTTCGAGCGTTTACGGATCTGGCGGCTCAACATCGTCTGTCCTCTGCTGTGATCTTCATCGATATCCGCAGTGCGTTTCATTCCATGATCCGTACTTTCGTGTTTAGCAATGACTCATCTTTGCCTCCACCCTTGCGACAAGTGCTTCAAGAAGCTGGGTTGGACGTGGCGCAGATCCAACGGAATCTAGATCAAGCATGTCCTCTCGACAAAACTATGGCACCATCTGTAGCGCGTTTGCTGCAAGATGCCCACCAACATACCTGGTACACGCTCGGTCAGACTGCCTTGACACATCGAACTGAGCGTGGTAGCCGTCCTGGGAGTCCCTTGGCTGATGTGGCATTCAACGCACTTATGGTGCAAGTCCTACAGGAATTGCAAACACGTCTTGACCAATACATGCCGTTGCAACTGGCTTTCGGTCATCTTGGTCTTCAGGCTCTACCAGTTTCTTGGGTGGACGACCTCGCTTTGCCGGTCGTATCGCTGGCAGCGGAGAAGTTGGTACCAATGATTCAATGTGTGCTCACTATGACCATACAAGTCTGTGAAGCCTTTGGACTTACATTGAATTTGAAGCCCAAGAAAACTGAAGTTGTGCCTGCATTTCGTGGCACCGGTGCACCTGCGTGTCGTAGCACGTTGTTCTTGGATCAGTTTGCCAAGATTCCACTACCTGAAACTACTCAGCAGGTGCGATGTGTCTCGCAATATGAACACCTTGGCACCACCTATCAGGCTGATGGTGGCATCGACAGTGAGACCCGCCATCGTGTTTGTCGTGCGGTTCATGCTCATCGACAAGTTCGCAAAGTCATCCTCATGAATCGGCACTTGTCAGTCAGTACGAGGTTGCGTTTGCTGGAGGCATTGATCCTTCCTGTCCTCCTTCATGGTGCTGGCAACTGGCCTTTGTTGAGTACTGCCCAATTGCACAGACTGACCACTCCTTACATCCGATGGATTCGATCCATTGTCTGTAACGGCTGCTGGACGGAGGACCAAATGACCGACCATCATCTTTTGCTGCAGTGGCGTCTTCCTTCAATCGCGATGCGTTTGGCCAAACTTCGGCTTTTATACGCATTTCATTGGATTGCTGACGCACCGCGTGCACTGATTGATATTGTGACGGCCACTGCTGACCTTCCTCATTCATGGTTTGCTGGGTTACGTCAAGCTTTGGTTTGGGCGTCACAGATCGACGAAGCGCTCTACGTTGGTGACCCTTTGACTGATTCAGTTGAGCATGTGTGCCAGTGGCTTGACTTCAACCAGAAACATGGTCCAGCCCGTGTTCGCAGGATCTTTCGGCATGCACTTCTGCAGGGTCATGTCATGGGACAAACCATGACACTTCACTATGAAATGCAACGTGTGCTGTGCAGACGTGGGCTTCCTGTTGAGAGAGCTCTTTCGAGCCTGTGTGAGTTAGAAGTGCGCTCTGAATGCCGCTTCTGCGCGAAGTCATTTGACCAACCACAAGCACTACGAGCACACCTTTGGTCTGCTCATGGTGAGGCGACGTCTGAACGTCTATTTATGTCCTCCACTACTTGCAATGCCTGTTGGAAATGTTTTTGGACGGTCAATCGTTTGCAAATTCATCTTCATCAAAGTAGGCAGCAGCGAGGAGGCTGTTATGAACGCTTGACATGGACTCAATCACCGTGGGAGGAGGCGATTCATATTGAGGAGACCGATGTTGCGCTTCTCCCACAACGTCTTCCCGCTGCAGAAGTTCCACATGTGCAGTCCCATCTTGCTCAGCAGTGTCTATCGCGTGACGTGGCGCTGGAGCATTGGCGATCTCTCTGGGAGCTCGAGGGTATGACATTTGAGTATGATGAAGCATGGGGACAGCAATGTAGAACGCTTTATGATGAAGCACTTGCCTCGTTTGTCTCCATTGACGCGCTTCTGTGGCATCTTACAACATTAGCTGATGGTGAAGGGCTTCCTGTAGCTCCTTCTGGCATGGGTTCTTGGGCGCTTGCTCTTTGGATGCTTGATGACCTTCGGTTTTCTCGTTTCCCCATGTTTTCAGTTGATGTTTTTGGCCAAATTGTTCGTGAAGTGCGTATGATAGTGAATCTCTCCCCTATTGGTCGTCTTGTTTGCTGGCGTCGCCGCATGGATGAAGCCTTTCTTGGTCACAGGGATGCTCCGGTGATCACTACGGCTGTCCGTTTGCAATCAGAGCGTGAGCCAATACTGGATTGTGTTCGTGGACAAGGTTTGTTGCTGGCTCCCTTGCTACAGCCAAGATTTCAGTTCCACAATTGTCACCATGGTTCCCATCCAGCTGCTTGATGGTCAGCAGTATGTTTGGATCCTTCATTTGTTCAGTGGGCGACGTCGTATCGGAGATTGTCACTGGTGGCTCGAGCATATTGGGCATAAGCTCTGGCCAGGTGTCAAACTGCGTATGATCTCGCTTGACACAGCAGTTGATCCTGTCCTTGGCAATTTGGACGAGGGATCCAACTACAATGTGGTTTTGAGCTTGGCAAGGAAAGGACTCATTGCGGGTGTCTTAACAGGGCCGCCTTGTGAAACATGGTCAGCTGCTCGCAATTTGGAGCTTTCTGAAGCACAAGGTCCACGACCACTTCGCAGCGCCGAGCAGCCATGGATTCTACCTCATCGTACAGGGAAGGAACTGAGGCAAACGGCGACAGGTACAACGTTGCTGTTTAATTCATGGCGCATCGAGGTCACGGTCACTCTGGAAGGTGGAGGTGCGTTGATGGAGCACCCCTGGGAGAATGGAGATTCAGACCGTGCTTCGGTTTGGCGTACTGTGGCGCACCAAGAGTGGATCATGAACCTCCCTGAGGCTCATAGACACTACATCGAGCAGTTTTTGTTTGGCGCACAAGGAAGCAAACCTACTTGCTTGCGCGCTTTGAACCTGGGCTCCCCCGAGATCGTGGAGCAGGCCCTGGTTGATGGCATGGAGTTGTGGCGTACGCGACCGACTACGAAACTCATGGGACGCACCTCCAATGGGACTTTCCGTACAGCAGCGGCTAAGGAGTACACGAGTGCCCTTTGTCGCACTATGTTGGTTGCACTTGTGAGAGGACTCTCTCACCGCGCATCTTCCAAGGGCGTTCGTCGCCCCGAAATTTTGACGGTCACTGAGAGCCAGTGGCTTACCGATGCACAGAGTGTATCGAAGAGCATTTCCCGTGAGTCGTTCCTTCCCGACTATCAGGGACGCTGAACATAGAATTCCTTCGCATGACCGCGCGAGACCTCTCAATGCGGCAGAATGGAAAAAAATATAATGTCAAGACATGTCAAGACCCAGCTGTCCGTTTTGTCCTTTTTTGTCGCGATCCCGATGGGATGATGTTGGAGTCGGAGTGTCTGTGAAGTGCCGCGAGGCCTGAGAGGACTGAAGAGGAAAAGAAAAGGCACGCCCTACATGGACGGATCCAAAGGGTTGATGAGGGTTGATGAGGGTTGATGGTTCATGGGCTGGTGGACGATAGGTGGACTTAAGTTTCGCAGGTACTCAATGCATCTCAATGGCCTTACTTTCATCATATTTCATCCAATTTCCATTCACTTTGTTTCAATGTCATTGCCAGGATGTCGTTTGCTCTGGAAATCTTTCGAACTTGCAGCGATTGTTCCGTAAACAGCCATGAACTACCATGTAGATTAATAAATCAAGTTTTGACGTACAGTTTCATATAACTTCATGGCCCCTCGTGTTCATTTAATTTCTTCTCCAGTTCCTAGATGACAACGATATGACGATATCAATGTGGAAGTTATTTCAAGAGATGTACCTTTGAAAGCAGTCCCAATGGTTCCACTGTTGGCACAGTTGGCAGTTGACACTCTCTTATGCCAACACATGCAATGGTCCATGTTATGTTTTCCTTGGTTGTGCATACAGTGGTGCTTGTGTTTGCCATGTGTGGTTTAGTGAGTGTATCATGTCGTCACAACATGGGTAATCCAGAGGCACAACTCCTAAAAGCAAAAGCCGAGATGTAATGGACAACGTCGATAGATGTTGATAGTACAAGCCAGCTTACTGTCGTTTATTTTCAGGCAAGTGACTGCTTGGTATTGTATGTAGAGTGTTAACATGTATTCAAGGATTTAGTCTTTTGCATCCCATGAATGAAGGCTGGCTGTGTATTTCAGGATTTGACATGTGCTTCAAAAGCCATGAACACCTCCGGATACAAATCGGCTCACCCCCAGTGCGAACGCAGTCAATCCATGTTGATCGTCTCTATGCAGGGGTAACTAGTCTGTGCATGTTTGTGCCATATGAAAATGAACACTCCCCAGACGCATCCGGACGCTTTGAAATGCTTATAGGTTTAGATTTTCCCGCGCTTGAACGCTGAAAGCAGAGATCTATGCAGCTCAGTGCCAGGTTCCGCGAGTACTTTGCCGCAAAGCGACAGGCAAATAACTCGCCGGTGCAGGGCGGATCAGCAGATCTGGTGGCAGAGGCCATGGTCAAGGCCATGGGGTGACCATACGTCAGATGCTGGGCAGGCGGAAGCTGGAGTGGAGCACATGTCACATATCAATGACTTCACTGTAGACCAGAGAATTTGCATGATGTCACGCTGCTACCATGGCAAAATGGATCAACATAGCAACTTTGATCATTCCCGCCACGGTTGATTTGTTCTTCTCATTACTTCATTGGTTGATGCACTCTGGATTCGACAAAGACTGAAGGGTTTATCCACAACACCACTTCTAGTCAACTCTCTGAAGACAAACTGAAGAGATCTAAAGAGTAATTTAAAATGATTTAATAATTTAAACATATTTAAACCCTGAAGTCCTATAGACCCGTGGATAGCCACAAACACAACGCAACGGAACAAAGCTTTGAATGCCTGGAATACACCCAGCCTCTCGAGGCCGAAACGGATCCGGAACTGAAGGAGCTGGGGTATGTCATGGTGCTGCAGGCCTGACCTCTACTCAGAGTGCTGATGATCTCCCTACAAATCGAACAGGGGTATCAGGGGTTACATGCTATGATCCAAGACATTCTTTTTCTATCTTTTTCTACTCATTCCAACGAACCGATTTGCGTATTTGGACTTTCCAGCGCCACTGGCATTTTTTTCCCATGCCTCTACTAACAAGCAGTGAAAGTTGAAGCCCTTCCAATCTGTTTGGGCATGGGTGCGGGCCAGAAAGTGTTCCCAAAGCTAGCTCACATCCAATAAGAGTTGGATGCTGGTTTAGTCGGTGTGTGGTGCCTGACAGATCCAAAACCCTTTCTCAGAACCCCGGCAGCGAACAGGTCCATGACGAGCTTATCTTTGAAGGGCCTGAGGCTTTATTTGGACCACCTTCTGGGTTGGTGACCTTATGGTCGTAGATGGTCGTGGCATAAACAGGGTAGTTGATGGTTGTTGTATGTTGTTGTCAAGGTCATCAACAATCTATGATGCATGATGTCATGTCCGGCTCTTCAGTCAGTTTTGGGTTATCTTGGTGGCACGTACTTGAAAAGCAGTATAGGGTCAGCAAGTCTTGCATGGACTTGCAATGGCGGCTTGCAAGAAGGTGAGCGGTGATTGTACTGTGAATCTGTTAGACCAGACTACTTGGTACTGTTGCCATTGATTCGGCTGTAAGATCTCCCTGGATTTCCCGCTTTGATGCCCACTATATACAGAAATCCAGATCTAAATCTAAATCCCAACATGCTGCTGTTTGCAGGAAAACGTGCAGAAAGCGAAGAGTGCAGTGAAGTGCCACTCCCAGCAGAAAGTTTGTTGAGTCGAGCAGAGTCAACAGTGAAAGGGGATTGACGAGGGATGCTACTGCAGGGCAACAGACGTTCCATGAACAACACCTTTACGATGAAAGATACCAAAAGCGTCAGAACAGGGTCATTGTTACTTGCTGTCAATGGACTTTTGATGAGATTATTTTTACAATCCCCCACATTTTATCTTTGTTTATAGAAGTTTCAATGATAGGAAACCTATAGGAGAGGTGAGTTGTTGTGATTCATGGATTGTGGAGCGAGCTGATGGACCGAAAAGTGGTTGAGGCTCTGAGTCTCTCTCTCTCTATCTCTCTCTCTTTCTTTCTCTCTCCCTCTCCCTTTCTCTCTGTCTCCTTCTCTCTGTGTCTCTCGATCTCTATCTCTATCTCTATCTCTCTCTCTCTCTCTTTCTCTCTGCCTCCTTCTCTCTGTGTCTCTCGATCTCTATCTCTCTCCCTCTCTCTATGTATGTACAGCATCTATTTGTCTATCTTTTCTTTCTATCTTTCTTTCTATATTTCTATCTTTCTGCCTATCTATCTGTCTATCTATCTGTCTATCTATTATTGTATTTATCTATCTGAATATCTATCTCCCTGGGCATCTGACTGTTTATCTGTTTATCTATATATCTATCTTTCCTTCTGCTTATCTATCTAGCTATCTGTCTGTCTATGTATCTATCTATCTATCTATCTATCTATCTATCTATCTATCTATCTGCCTCTTCATCTATCAGACTCAGACTATCTGGCTATCTGTCTACCTGTCTATCTGTCTGTCTGTCTATCCACCTGATTGGGCTCTCTATCTAGATGTCTATATATCTGTCTCTGTATCTATCTTTCTTTCTATCTGACTATGTGTCTATCTGACTACCTATTTGTCTATCTGTCTATTTGCCTATCTATTTATCTGTCAGCGATTATGCGAGATTTCCTTCAAAAGATAAGTTGACAAGTCCAAAATGAAGAAATTCTGCGAGACTTCCTCACAAGATAGAAGTTCTCAGCTCCAAAACAAAGAAATTCTGCCAGACTGCCTAAATTTTGAATTTGAAACATCAAAAACGAAGCAATTCTGCCAGATTTCCTTTTCAAAAATGGAAAGTTGACTGCAGAGCCGACGGCGTCGTAGCAATGCATTTTGCAATTTTTCCACCCCATCTGTCTAAAATAATGTGCCTGCAACGAAAAAGTGAAGGCAGGTCATGCGAGATGCTGTGCCTGTCACGCAAAAATTATCTTGGCAAACCTGAAGATCTGATGCTCCGCGAGATGCATCTTTGCAGATCCTCTTCAAACGTCCCACGCCTGCCATCGTTTTTGCAACTGCTACAAACCCTCACGTTCTGCTCGCTTTGGACAAGGTGCAGAATCCATTGCGCCTGTTACACAAAACGACTCTTGAACCGAAACGCACTTCGCGCCACAACGGAGCGCGCTTTTCAACAGCTCAACTTCCAAAAGTGCTCTGAGACTGGTGTGCTTTGCGCATTTTGACTTCGAAACGTGCTTCGCGCCACTACGGTGTTCATTTTTTTGAAACATCTCAACTGACAAAAGTGCTCCGAACCCGCAGTGTTCTTAGCATTCCGATTTCGAAATGTGTTTCGCGCGAGTTCAACAGCTCAACTTCCAAAAGTGCTCCAAAACGGAGATGCTTTAACCATTTTTACTTTTTTACTTCGAGATGCGCTTCGCGCCACAACCGCGTGCATTTTTTGATCTCTCATCCGACCAGATAGCTCCGCACCCGCCGCTTTCGTGAGCCTACTTTTCGACCCTCCGCAGCCACAAAACATGAGAAACAAACAGTGTTTCGTGACTTTTCTACCTTTTCGCGCGCTGATCTGCTTTCTCCTGACTCACTACTCTGATTTTTTCTCTTGTAACTCTTTAACTGTTCTCATCGCTGTTGCTGCGTCTGTCCATTAGTCGGAAGTTTGACTTCTAAACTGAGTGTGGAGCAACAAGTAGACATCAGAAAAGATATATAATCACCACCCCTTTAAGGATCCTTTAAGGCCACTTTTCGGGGGGGGACCATACCAAAATGTAAGCTACATTTTTGGGGACCCCCCTTAAATGTAAAATTGGTTGCTGAACGTCCCCAAGGTGTCGTTTTTGTGGGGAGAGTCTTCAAAATACCGTCAAAATGTAAGCTTACATTTTCAAGGCCCCCCCTCAGAAACACCTTGAAAAATGTAGCTTACATTTTGGGTACGTCCCCCCTTCTTAAAACGCTGGTGATGATATATACATGACACAGATCTGGCAGCCCATTGCGCACGTGCCAATCAATTGGTTTCTTCTCGGAGTAATCTTTCTACAAATTTGTGATTTGTCATGGTCATTGCCTTCCACCCAGAATGTTTGAGAGTACTGCATCTCAACAACGCAATGATATTTACACCCTCTTGGACACATGTAGGAATGGGTCAGTGGATTTTGCTGAGCCTCTCCCTCAATTTTTTTTGGGGTTCCGGAAGTATGCCACGATCGCAACACGCAGAAGTCCAGGAGATCCCAACTGTTTTGAAACCATCGTCTGCCAAGGCGCGTCATGGAGGATCCTTTCCTGGACGACTACAAGTTCTCTGTGCCGCTGCTTGCCGATGTCAAGGCTTGGCCATGCGGCCGGCAAAGCAGAGTTATTTTATCACCACCCCTTTAAGGGTACTTTTCAGGGGGGGACCTTACAAAAATGTAAGATGCATTTTCTGGGGCCCCCTTAAATGTATTTTTTCCGCTGAACGTCCCCCAGGTATCGTTTTTTTGTGGGGAGGGTCCTCAAAATACCTTCAAACTGTAAGCTTACATTTTCAATTCCCCCCTCAAAAACAGTTTGCAAAATGTAGCTTACATTTTGGGTACGTCCCTCCCTTAAAATGGTGGTGATGTTTTATATATATAATATACATATGTAAATAAATAAATATATATATATATTAATATTTTAGGCATTATATATTTACATATTACATTATATTTATTTTATATGTATGCATTTTTTTTTAAAATATATATATATACATTATATTAAATATATATACACATTATATTAAAGATATATATATACATTATATCATATATAAATATATTATATCACATATATATATATATATATCATATATACATATATATATATATATCGATGAGGTGAAAAAGTAGAATTTGTTGCAAGATGCTATAGAGAACATTGGGAAAATTTGGGAACATAGAAGCAAAGTATAGCAAAGTTGCAATGTGCAGCAAATCAGCTTCAAGCATTCGATGGGGCGCTGGAGGTGGCCGAGTCCTGGCACGAGGCCAAACACGCCTAAAGGCAGACCTAAAGGCAGATATGCTTTGGAAATGTGGCTGGGAGATGGGAGATGCTTGGAGGGATCCATGTGAGGATTAAAGAGTCGCTGTGATGGAGATGCGGATGAGGGTGGCAAGATTCTTTTCGAAGAGATTCTAAGCAAGGCGAAGCAATCTAGCGAATTCAGATTATGATTTGAAAGTATTCAGGTACTTGAACCTTGTGATTCACAGGAAACACTGAGTCTAGTCAATTTGAAGTGTCCTTTTCCGTTCTGGTCATACTACAAACCAGAATTTTACTTGCAACCACAGACAATTGTTTGCATGAAATTGGTTAGATGAGGATTGGATCCTAACCTTGAGGCACAGATGAGGATCGCTTTCTCGGGACAGTAAGACGTCTAATGGTGTAGCTCTTCAAAATTTGTTCCTGCAGCTGGTGCAGATTTTACACCGTGGAGTTCTGAGTCGTGCTTAAGCGTAGAAATTTGACTCCGTAGACACGTTGACAAGTGAAGGCCTCGCAAATGCAAACATATTTTTCAACTGGTCCAATCGACGAAACCAAATTTTCCGACATTTTTCTGAAGGCTTATTGTGGCTGCGACAACCTTCTTAGGATATCATGTTCATTCATTTTCTTGGTATGCCCAAACATGATGATCCAAACATCAGCATGTCCACAGTCTGCGCTGTTTGCCTTCATTGTACAACTATATGTACGTTACAACTCCGCGTGTTGTGTGTGAGCGCTTCTTTCGTTGTGTCAGCGGAGTTCTTGGGCATGTCATTTGCTGACTGTTTTCCAATTTGGGCTTTCCAGGGCTGTTGGGGACATGGCCATGGACTGGAGATGAATGGAGGTGTGGAATCTTATAACTGTAGTTGAACAATGTTTACCAAGTTTTCCCCAAACAGTGTGTCCAAAGTGAGGGGTTCTTACAGTACTTGTAGGTGTTAAGGCCGGTGCTTGATCAGGGTGCTCCAGCTGGGCCGCGGCATTTTTCCTGTAAAGTTCCGCATCAAGTGGCTCTTGTGAAATCTCCAAGTGCCTTGCGACTGCGCAGGCTCGCGCAATGTCTGCACCCCGGTTCTGGTCGGCGTCATTTTACCTGTAAATTTCCGCCTAAAGTGGCTCTTGCAAAATGTTGACATGAATTTCGACTGCGCAGGCTCGCACAAAGTGTGGTCCTAGGTCTTGGGATCGGTCCTCCTCCTCAACATCATCATCCTCAACATATCATCATTCCCAACATCATCATCTTCCTCCCCCTTCACATCATAATCCTCAACATCATCTTCCTCCACCTCATCTTCCGCAACATCATCCTCCACCTCATCTTCCGCAACATCGTCCTCCTCCACCTCATCTTCCGCAAAATTATCGTCCTTTTCATCATCCTCCTCAACATCGTGATCTCCCTCCTTCTCATCCTCCGCAACATCATCATCCTCCTGCACCTCATCATCCTCAACATCAGCATCATCCTCAACATCATCGTCCGCAACATCAACATCATCATCATCATCACCATCATCATCATCATCATCACCATCATCATCATCATCATCATCATCATCACCAGCACCATTCCCATCACCATCGTCATCGTCATCATCAGCATCATCATCATCATCATCATCATCATCATCATCATCATCATCGTCATCTTCATCATCATCATCATCATCCTCATCCTCACCATCATTATTATCATCAACATCATCGTCCGCAACGCAACATCATCATCCTCTACATCATCGTCTCCCCATTTTCATCCTCATCATCACCATCATCATCTTCATCATCATCATCATCATCACCAACAACAACATTGTCATACATTATCCTCCCACCCCCCCACACTGTTTGGGGTCTCTTGCCGGGACAATACTTCTTGTTTTTTGTGGACTTAACCAGATTCATCATATTAAGACATGTAATATGAAGTAATTACAGTAATTAGTATTCGATTGTATTCGCACATATTCGCACTATATGTGATATATGTGATTACATGTGTGTATATTTCACCATATATACATGGTGTTGCCAACGAAATTAAAGGTGCTTTTGAAATAACACTGTCCAACAGTTCTGATTCTTGTCGGGTGCATGGAACCATATTGAGCCGACTGTGGATCAAACCTTCTAGGCAGAGTTGGGCCGGGCATCAATATGCTTTGTCACACTATTACTATCTATTTCTATTTGCAACACAACTTGTATGACTAGGTCTGGTGTCAAAGGCGCCTCTAAGGTTTGTCAAACTATAACTACCAGCATTTTTTCTCCAATCCAAACCATGTGTTTGATTGGGGAGACGTGAGAACTGTCATGGTACAACCCAGATGGCGAGGGCCCAGCCTGTGCAAGGAACGTTAAGGAACAATATACTATATTTCCATGTAGGATTACCCAGGTAATGATGTCTCCATGCAGACTTGACCATTAGACTCAAAACAACCATGTCTAGCAGGCAAGATGATATATGTGATATGTGCATATATTTGCAGGTAGATAACGATGATAACGATCGAAAAAACAACAGGCCGGTGTGGACCTCAAGCCCTTCTTTCTTTTGTACGTTGTTAGTGGATTTGTTTTTTCCACTGACCATTCGAACTCAAACCTTTTTGCAAGAGAATGTGAACTGGAGAATGATCTCTCACTGAGTATAAATGGGATGCAGCCATGAATGCCACGGAAAGTGTTGGTTCGTTCTTTTCGGGCGAAAACTTGACAGTTCTTTGCGCGAACCAATCAGATCCGTGGGGTTGAGCTTAGAGTTGCTTGCGGGAACATCGATGGATGTGGAAGGGGAAAAAGGTTCAGAAGCTTTGCTCGACGCACTGCAACAGATTGGATTCTAGTCATGGTCAGTTGAGAGTTAGTAAATTTTTGGATGCAGTTCGGAGATCAACATGCGGATGCGTATACGGCGTCTACGCAGAAAAGCATGGAAGTACTAAGTACTATGTAAAAAATGTGGCCGTGGTGTTCTTGAGTTTGTTTCCCTCGCACGAGGGCATTGTCGCTCATCGTTTTTAGCATCTTTGAACATCTGCGAATCTACCAACATCTATATGAACATATATGAACTCATAATATGACAAAAACATGTAGTTTAGCAGACGGATGTTTGACTCCAGGGACTTCCGGAACCTGACAAACCGGCAAGGGCTGCTGATGCGGTATTTTTTGGTTTTGTTTGCAACAAGTTGGAAGGCATGAGATGGTGTATTGGGAAACCAACTTGAGAAACTGTTTCACGATACTAGATACTGAACAAATTTCCCCAAAATTTTCCCCCAGAGTTGTTGTTTCTTTCAAGAGAGACTTGAACGGAAGGAAATGGAAGCATTCGAGCAATCAGTGATCATTTTTTTCTTTGCAGGTGCTGCCTAAGATATCTTTTTCCATCTCTTCCCCTTTTTCTTGATCGATCAATCTGAATTTGCACTCCACTGTTCGGATCTTTCATCAAATTCCGATTCAGTGACGTCCAGTGTTTGGGTTCCGCAGTTTTTTCACATGCTCACCAGCTCTCTCTCCGGGCATAGCTGTTGGACGGAGGCAAAGGGCCCTTGGGACGTAGCAAGTCGTGAGATATCCAATGAAAGCATATGGTGGCTTCAAGCAGTCGACTATGACTTGAACGGATTGTCTCCGATTGACACAGTGGCAAATCAGCAAGAACTCTGTGGCCCCATTGCCAAGCACCATCGCTTTGTTGTGTTGCTGTACCGTAGTACATGCCCGCAAATGATTTTGACCAGTCACTCTCAGAAAGTCTTCGGGTCGTTTGATGTCGTTTGTACTTTCTAATAGTTTTTCTAATAATTCACAAACATACACAGTTTCAATATATGTTTCTGTTATAGGTTCAATATGGTTCAATCATTTTCAATCAGTGGCATTTTCTGTGTCCGAATCGCCCCTGTTGTGTTTCCCAGCCGCCAGGGAGATGGGACTGGGATTCCTACTTTCAGCCTCTTGGTCACAAGATGCTGTGGTGTTCAGGATCACCTCAAGCCTTTTGTCATGTTTGTCCATGTTTGTCCCATATGTCACGAGTCACGTGTTCAATGATTTCATACATGTTTCTACTGTTTTTATATAGGTCATCAAAATCCAACTCAGAGAATCCTGACTTCAGTGTTTTCTAGCTCTCCTTTTTTTGTAAAAGTTGAGTTCTGGTCATCTAGGTGGATACATGTGGATACAATAACCAACACTACTCGTAGCTGATGCTGGCGCTGTAACTTCAAGGGTCCAAGTGTGGAAGAGATGAATTGATGGCAGACAGCCACGATTCAAATTGTCAAACCAAAGTCCACACATGTCCACCACAAATGGGTCTGGCATTGGAGCCACCAAAGTACTAGAGCCATCTAGAGCCTTTGATGGGGTGGATCTTTTTGGGCTGCAGAGTCGCTGACTCTCCTGCGTTAGCTAAGGATTTGGGTAGGCTGCTCTTTCACGATCAGGTCTATGTCATAGTTCGGGCGACGGGCGAAGCCGTGCATGGTGTAATCAAAACTACGTTTTCGATGAGGACGCATTGGACGATGATTGTAGAAAGTTTAGCGGAAAGGAACTATGTTCAGGAAGCCCAAGAGTCCAACTAAAGGCGAGTTGATCAGAAAGAGCGTGATCCATCACGATAGAAACATGACAGAACAACATTGCGAAAGTCCACAATTCCTGCCAACCTGAAATTGTAGCACTGATTCTCGAGGCAATCTTTTTTCTGCCCATCTCGATTGTGATCTTCTTTGTGGAATGGTCACGCGGCACCAGAGAAGCTCCCTTGCTCAAAGTCTCCAGACACTCGGATTTTCACCTGCTGCGATGGTGTAAGATGCACTGTATCATGATGTAACACATGTGCTCCTGTGTGATCCCCAGACAAAGCAGAATGCAGAAGGACAGTTTTACTTTTTTCTCTGGGGCGATGGCCCTAACGACGATGCCACGCGATAAATCGCGATAACTATACTGAAAGGGGAATGAAAAGGGTGAAAAACTGCAGGAATAGTTTTGAGAATATGTTGCGATGTCGGAGTCTTCTCAAGAGTGCATTGTCTGGTCTCTAATCTGTAGGAGCAGGTTGGTGAAACAAGTTCTTTGCACGCTATGTCGATCATTACACTCTTTCGGGTTGCGCTAGTGAACGATTGCCGAGTCCATAGCGATAATCATAGATCCTTTGTTCTGCTGGAACATTAACATCAACACGTCAGGGGACATTGTCCCAAAAGGAGATATCTGGGACGTCGTAGGCTAGCAAATCCATCATCATTGACATCCTCTGATCAAGTGAAGTTCAATCTTGTGATTCTACTTGACTCTTGGCACCTGTTTCATGCAATTCTATGCTGTCTATGCTGACAATCAGGAGAAGCAAAGGCAGAGCATGCAAAACGCGTGGAGAAGGTTGCGCAGAGTGTCAAGACCCTTGCTTAAAATCTCAAACATTAAGCAGCGCCAAATGGGGGAGTGTTTACCAACTTTCCCAGGATGATCAAACACAACACTGCATGCTGGGATGTGGGAATGAGGCAAGTTATCACCAGCAGCTCAAAGGGTCTCAAAGGTCTCTTTTGAACATCTTGAAACGGACTCCTAGCATCTCATAGTGCATAGCATTGTAGGTGAGCGCAGACGATTTGATGCTGTCCATGGATGCTGAGGAGCCAAGCAGGGGAAGGCGCTCAGCTTTTTACATCGCGACCTGATCGGGAGCGCATTAGTTCCCGAATCTTGGGCACCTCGTCACAACTTAGTCACAACTTAGTGACAACTTAGTCACAACTTATTGATCTTATACGGAACTTATGTGATGCTTAGTGGGCAGGGATGGGTTGGACATGGTTGGATTGTGAACATTATGGACAGCAAAATCCAAGAGGGGAATGCCGGGAATGCTCCTGGTTCATTTCATGTGACCAAACAGGTGGACACTCGAGTTGAGTCGACCATTTGGTTCTTTGATGTTCTTTGTTCATGTCGGATTATGATAAAATAATACAAAAAATGATAAATACATATAATATACAATATATATATACATGTATATAATATAATAATGTAATGTTACATATATAGTTGCCGTATAATTACTCTTCTCAGTTTTTTTGCTATGAATATGCCTTGGACATCCTTGGACTACAGTAAGTGGAGATTTTCTTGCTGCAGAACACTTTCTCCCAGACTCGGCTGTTTATTATCAAACGCAGCCAAATATGTGCCCTTTTGCTCATTTCTGGTACCTCAACACATGCCAGTTTCATCCATTTTCCAGCCATACCGGAATATAGTTAGTAAGGTGATCAAAGGTACGCGAATCATTTGTAGCTTACAGAACATTTAAACATATTTAGACTCTTTTTAAGTTCCGCATTTAAATATTTTAAATTCTACGTAAGATCACAAAAAAGTTCCGAGAAACTCGATGTCCAGTTTAGTACCCATCCCATCCCATGCTTTGGATTGCTGACCGCTCAGCTCCTCGAAAGCAGAAGATCGACACCAGCGAACTGAAGAACCTCGTGGAGGAGCGAGCTGAGTTACAATGGACGGGTTGAAACCAACGGTTTTACCAGGTTTTACCATATTTCTCAGCATTCGTTATCGTTTGTCACAGGAACCGAGATCTTGGAATAGTTTGTTCATGGCTCCGCAATGAGTTATTGCAGCAAGAGAGTGTGTGTGTGTGCCCCTTCCAGAGGTGGTACAAGGTCTCGGAGCGGCTTTTGGGTCATCAACAAATTCCTCTCAGTGTTGAAGGACTTTGGCATACTTTGGCAACACATTGACGGTTTTAGGAAAGTGCTTTGTGAGTTGGTCACTGATGTCATTACAGGTTTAGATCCTGCTGTTACAGTAAGACTCCCAAACTAATGTTCGACGTTTCGTATCCTTGAAACTTGAAACCATGCGCGGGTTCAAAATCGTCCCTGCCAGGTGGACACAGAGAAGGGGTTTGCTGTAGTCGAACCACGCCTGCGCATGGTGGAGTTGTCCCATTTCTTGCTCTCATCAGAAGCCCAGATTTATCCTGTTGCAATATTTGATGCCCGCAAAGTAACAGAATGAAACATATCTGTGCCAGGATCTGTGGATGGTTTATTCAGCAACTTTGATATGTAGCAAGTGGATGCAAGCGGTAAATTGTCATTGTAATTCAATGTAATTGTAAATTGATGTAAATTGTCAATGTAATTCATTGTTATTGGGGTTACTATCAACTGATTGACCGCAGCGGGAACGGCCTTGGTCCAGGCAAGGCTACTCCGTCCCATGCGTTCCTGAACTTGATGACCTGACGGTAGGTGGGTTGCTTGAATGCAAAGATTGCAAAGCCTCTACACCACGGGCTCCGTGTCATCCAAGAGAGCAATTTTCTCATATTTTCTCATATTTTCCCTCCCTTTTCACAAGAGAGGATCCTGGATCCAACTTTGGGAAAGAAGATCGAGACCAAGAGAGATCAAGAAAAGTATAGAAAGGTTAGAAAGGTACGTATAGATCTGAGATCTGTATAGAAAGGTCAAGAATTGACTCGAGATTCCAATGTGTTGAGACCATGCAGTGCCACGAGGTTGCTGATGGGCTGTGGCATTGAGTCCACCTCATGGAAGTACGGCATGTTCAATGAAATTTGAACCTCGGTACATGCTTGGTGAATCTTGTTGAAAATCTTGTTGAAAACTGTAGAATCATAGAACGAATAGAAGGATTTAGAATTGATTATATTGATTAGAACGAAGCAAACAGAACGTGGCAAATCGGGCGAAATTGATCCTTGAGTTGGATATCCTTGATAAGAAAGGTTGGTGGCGAATACAGATGTCCAAACACACCTGGAACGCATTCTTTGATTTTCTTTGTTAGTTTTTCGTTGGAGAAAGTAAAACACACCTAGATGAAGCGGGGGGCCCTCCATGGGCCGCTCTGTCAAACATGAAAGTTTAAGAAATCATACTCGTATAATTATATTCGTATCATATTCCAGCTCGGATTCGTAATTCAGGGCACCTGCAGAGTAAAGCAGAGTGTCTTTTTGCATCACATGAAACTATCATGAAACCCACCAAAACGGATCCAAAGGGATAAAAACCAAAAGGGAGCTGCCTTGATGCCTTCCTCGAGCCCAATCTAGTGTACCCCTAAATGTGCCAGAATAGATCTCTGATGGACTTCCCAAGAGACATTTGCCAATATTTGCCATTTTTGGCCTAGAGACCTCGCGTGGCCCTTTCACAATGAGATTGCTCTGCAGACAGTACTGTATGTGTCAGATTTGAGTGACATTTAATGGTCCCTACTGTTTGCACAGTCCGAGCAAATCAACCCTTCACAGCCTCTGCACGTGTTTGATGTATTGGGCTTTGGCAGCGTTATCTTGCATCGATCCACCCAAGGCCAATGCTACGAGATTGTAACCTGCACCGGTGAGGTCCGCTTCAAAAGTGAGAGAAAAATGACTGAACATGAGACAGAAGCATAAACCAAGAGTTCAAGAGGGCATCAAGGAACAAGAATAACCAAGAATTATGTTTCCTTGCGAGTACCTAGCAGCACTTACAATGTCTATCTTGATCCTCAGCCAGTAAGAGTCACCTGATCGACGAACCTGCAGATCTGATCTGAGCGTTGAGATACCACTACAACCCAACCACATCTTACACTCTTACACCTACCATCTAGTAGGGAACGTTAGGGACGGTTTGGGAACACTAGGGAACCACTGACACGTCTACCGGGTTGGCAGGTGCAAAGCGTCACTGAGGAGAGTGATAAGGAGCAACATGGTGTGCATTGGTGTGCTGTAGGCTTAATGCATGATGAAATGAACGGTTATCAAACTAATCAATCTGATCAACATCTCACCCCATTCGTTACATTTCGTTACCCGTACCCCAAGATCCCTAAACAGTACTAGTCAAATTTATTACATTTTATTACTATGTTCTGTGCTTGGTGCAGGAGCTGTTCCACACCTTGCCCTGGAGCCATGGTACTCATGGAATTTTGGTATCTGCCACCCTACGCATCATCCCAGTACCTCGGCTTTAGACAATAGGAATGGGATGTCATGGCTGTAATGGAATGATATGGAATGTTTGGTTCGCCATATCCTGACCGAACTGTTCACTGAGCTCAAATCAGCAGAGGCAATTTATGGACATGACACAATGTGTCAGGTCTTTTTGACATTTTTGGACATGTCATGCCCCTTTTGTGTCAAGGAAGTGTCAGAGAAAGATGCTGCTAGTTGCCACTTGTGGGTCTCCTAGGCCAAGCCGTTTGTGCGGCTTCAGCTGACGCACTGCAACTTGGAGTTACAAGATGGTGGGATTAGGACATGAGACCATGAGGGGAAGACTAAGAGGCTCCATGCAACCTGGGTTTTTCAGTGATGAGTCAACTAGACGTGCTTAAATGGTGATCCAATGTACCGCACATCAAGCTATTTTGAGTGTAGATCACTTGCCCTGGTTGTGAGCTGATTCGTGTTTTGGACCGCATCCTCCAAGCATATTCCAAGAGTCTATCAGAGGCCATCATTCAAAGTCAGGAGTGAAGTGACACGGAAGAAATTCAATAGGAGTTTGGACATTGGAAACTTAACTGGGATAGCCGCTAGCCGCATAGCCCGCTTTATTGAAACCTATCAAAGATATGCAGTTCTTGCGACGTGCATGTGTGGGGGCTGGAAGGTAATGACCCTTGGCTGTACAGGACATGTTTCTCTGAACTGGCTGTAGACCAGCGAACAGCTTTGGCCGCACCTTAAACCAAAACGGTCCGCAACCCGGTCCCCATCGGCCCGCTCTCAGGCGAGGATAGAGATTCTTTGTGCAAAACCTTGGAGACACTCAGCATGCGATTCACCCCCCCCCGAAATTGAGTGTGCAACCAATGCTGGCAATTGGGCATGAAAGCTACTTTAATGATTTTAATGGATAGGCCCAAGCCGAACCATTGGATAAATGAAGTGCCAGGGCATCTAAACCGGGCGTGTGTTTAAATTTGGACGAGCACCCGTTTTGTAGATTATCAACGCAAAGGACTATCACAAGACTGGATTCAGCAGCAAACTTGTTGTTTAGATTTGTTTAGCATGAGTTAATGTGAAGATATGTGAAGCATGTGATGCCAATGTGAAATGAGAAGCCAACTTGACAGATCTTGACAGACTGACTGCCTTAGGAGTTCAGTTGGCACTGGGGATCACGAATTTGTCGAGGGCCTTGCCTTCAATCCCAGTTTTGCTGTCGTGCCTTGGCCGGTCAAAATCTGCCTGTACGACAGGAATCGACAAGATGATAAGATATTATATTACTTTTATGTGCAGTATATGCTGTAAGTATCCATAAGTATTCAATAGTGATTATATTTGTACAATTTTTGTACATGGTTATGAGTTTATGAAAGTTATATGAATTTTATGAAAGATTTGCACAGGTAAAGATATCAAAGGGCCTTGTTTAGGACCAGTTTCTCAAGAAGTATTGTCCTTGTCTTCTGCACAGGTCCTGCTGATGTTTTTTTTGCACACGGACTCCAAGGAATTTCTGACTGTCAACAACGCATAGGTGGCAAGAGAAATGATGGCCTGCGTAAAATTCAGAGAGAGAGAGAGAGAGGGAGAGAGAGAGAGAGAGAGTCGGGGAGAAGGATGCGCTGTGGTGCAGGATTCAAAACATCTAAAGATAAGTTCAGAGATATGCGGTGTATTAGACGTGAGGTATCTACTACTTCCAATGACTGGGAAAAAATAGTTCTGTATTCCACAAACCATCACAAACCATCACAAACTATCAATCTAGAAGTCACCCGCCAAGACTGTACACGATTCAACAATACTCAAACAAGTAAACCTATCGCACGCAGCACGATGCAGATTTGTTGGTTCGTGTAATGGTTCGCATGTCCCAGGTGATGACAGGCTCGTACGTCGAAGCTTGGCATTTCTAATTTGTGGCGTCTCAATATCAAACTGAGGACAAATTGTTTTAATTAATTGTCTCGAGTTTTTTGATTTGTTCGATTCATATGCATTCATATGCTATTTTCTTATGTCGATGGAAGCGCCACAATAGAAACAAAGAACGAGTTTCTACGGGGCCCTTCAGCTAGTACGATTTCTCTGACTCTAATGATAGTACGGGTTGGTCTTTCATCCTTCAGAAATTGATCTTTTCAGAGTTGAGAATATCAAACTTCCGGTTTGAGTGCTGTTGACATGACTGCAGGTTTAAGCAGCAGTGTTGTTCCCATTCCAAGGATTAAATCATATCATATTATATATGTTTACACAAGTGCTGTGGTACCTTCATAGTCCCATTCTTCCCTTTTTGGGGCATTCTTAGCAACTCTCAATTCAAAGCAAATAACTATCAAGAACGCAGCTGTACAATCTATGACCCCAGCGATCTACAAAAAATTCACATGATGGACTCTGAGATGTTCCTGCGCTTGAGGATGCACCAGATGCATCCGATGAGATTCTATCCCTAGGGAAGTGGCATGATGCTTGGCCGTTAGACGCATCGACCTGGTGCGTCTGGACTTGAAGTGCTGCATTTTGCTACGATGTGCTATCTACAGATACATCATATATAAATTTTAGTAATATATAAGTCATATATGTATAATTATGAATAATATAGAAATGATATAATATATTATAATATTATATATATATATACGTCCTTATTTGTCTATACTACCCTTTGTTAATTGATAGTCTAGAAATTGTAGTATATGATTAATTATATCACTATTTGTGCAGTATCCTTAATCATACAAATATGCCAATGTAGTGGGTGAATATCTCAGCACAATGATTTGAATACTACAACAATCTACAACATGGGCCTGCCAATCCCCATCGCTTTTTACACGCAAATTTCCAGGCACACGAAGAGACGTTTGGAAAAAAACAGGTTTGTTTGATGCAGAATCACCGACGCGTACCGCAAAGAAACCTGTGAAATGATCAGCGCTCGCCATGTCTCATAGCGGATTCTGGGCCATACAGATTAATAGTCATACATGTTCAACCTTTGATGGCCCGGTTTCCAGCGTGTAAATAGCAAACATGATGATCCAGCTTCTACATGTGCCCATGGGAACCTACTTGTAACCCAGGACCTGAGAATTCTGGAACTCATTTCGTTCTGATCATGCAACAAAATCAAGTTGGCCAGACGGAACGTAATGCCAAGGATCCTTGGTTCTTCAAGCAGGTGCAAGAAAAAAAAGAAGGTGAGGTTTGCTGGAGATCAGGGCAGTGCTAGAAGAATATGCCTTGTTGCAGACGGTGGTATGAGTCGACATGAGGCTGAGCAAGAACCTATTCCTCCAAGGACACTGAACCCCTCTATGAAAGATCTGAAAGGGTAAGCCATGGTAAGCCATGGTAAGCCACCCTATTGTTTCGTGTGATGACATGTGCTTTTCTGCTGCAGGCGTCGTGTGCATGCGCCTGGCAACCTAGTATGTCCTGGTGCAGGGATCAAAGAAGGTGATAGAAACTGATGGAAGCTTGAGATCCAATCACATGAATAATTGGGGATAGTACATGTATGTACATTTTACATGATTTATAGTATTAGCTGCAAGATTTTGATAGATTTTGGTTAGGTTCTACCAATAGCAGGGTAGCCAGGGTATCCCAGGGTAGCAGTCCAAACATGGCAAGTCGATCCTGGGACAGCGCGCCACCAAGGCACCACCGAATATTTGCATCGACACTCCAAAAGCACCTGGGATCATCGTGGCACTTTGCATTGCTTGCCACTACTTATCCACTACTTATCCATTACTTGGACTACTTGGCAAATCCACAACACAAATTCTTGATGGAGAGTGGACTCCTGGGGAGATAACACATGGTTTTTCCCTGTTCCAGTCTCAATTTGCGTAGCAGCGCTTGGGAAACAGAATCAATAGAACGTTGAAGATCTTGAAACAGGATGAAACATGGAACTTTGGGATACGCAGCTTGGAGCGCTCTTGGAAAGGTTGCTTATCAGAGCTATGCTGTACCAACCCGCGGATCTTTGTTTGAATATCTTGAACTGTACCCACTTTGCTTGTGCCTCTACGTCAAGCGTATACTTAGAATCTATAGACATATATATATATAATTATGTATATATATATATATATAAATATCATTATTTATCATATATGGACTATATAAATTGCGTTTATGGCGAGGAGGGATAAGCATTCAGATATAGATGTCCGTAGTCATTGAGCCTTGGATTCTCATCACGGAGACTCAACCTGCCAAGGTATCTTCTGGGAGTTGCCGGCGGCTCCCAGTTCGGCAGAGTGCTATAGATGCTCCTGGTTGTGGGAAACTATTCACCTTGACGTTGAATGGTGAATAGTGATCTCTTACTTTGTTGTTACATGTTGTTACTGAACAGCCGGTTGCATCCTAGCCATGAGCAATTGTTCATGCTTGCTGCATGCAAAATCTGATACTTCTCTGTAGGGCTATGCATGTTGACACAAGCACTCATCTTAGCATGAATGTCGATCCAAGATGGGAACATCGATAGAGTCATGCAGTCATCGCAAAGCCGCGTCATGTGAAGAAGTCCGGATCATACGGTATACCCACCAGACTCATGTGCCATTAGCATCCATTAGTATTGTTTGCTTCAACTCATGACTTCCAACCCAAATGTTTCTTTGTTCAAAGTTTCAACGGTCTCTGACTCTAGTTTTTTGGTGCCCATTTTGAGTCTGCCCCTTCGCTGCTGCCAAGGGCATATTTGCAGCCATGGGGGAACACCATGTTCTTCCGCTATTTGCGGCTTGATTGCAACACATTGATGCGTGCTTGCAGAGAGACAATCCAGTAGGATGTCTTGAGTTCGCTTGTAGATGGCATAGAGAGAGAGAGAGGGAGACTCGCTCTCCGCTTCACGCTTAAGAGTTGTGATTTGCTTTAGGGAGCCAGAAATGTATCATTATGTATCCAAATATCACTCAGCATTATCAAGAAAGACTGGGGTCGAACAGTTGACTGGCATAAAGAAAGCATCATAAAGCTATGTGTATATATTTGCGTATAAATATACGTATAATATATATACATACATACACACACATATATATATACACATATAATCAATTATAATATATATATATACATACACATATAAAGCTGCTGATGCTTCCTTTGACTCAGGTTGGGATGGATCAATCCCCTGAACATTGCTTTAGTGAAGTCCTACCAGCCCGAGTGGACTATGAGGTAAGCACTGCATCAGGTCGACGAGACACAATGAACACACAGTGACTGCATCAGATATTTGGGAACCCGTAGCATTTGGGTTTTGTTGGGCCCCTTTGCGCTACGGCGCTATGGGTTGCCTTTGGAGCAAGGAATTCCTTTCATGCATCCGAGATCATAGCAATTTTGATGCGATCTGATGTTACGATTTTCTCCTGGCTTTGTTGCTGTTGCAAAAGCATGTTCTCTTGCTTGGATGTATACAGAAAGACTCTTTGTTGTAATTATATAGTTCTGATATGAACTTGCGGTATAGAAATTATATTTGTCGGAGTCGAGAGTCAAACATGGCCTGCTTGACAAACTCCCTGATGAAGCCAAGAAAAGCCAGATCTCAGGTGCACAGATGCACGCACAAGTATAAGTACAAGAACCACACCATTTTCAGAGCAATGCTTTGCCACGTTTGTCTCGTTTTTTAGTGGCTTTCTGATGCTTTTCTGGCATAGCGTAGCATAGCGTTGTTCCAGGTACTACTGCAATGTCAACGTCATCCAGGAGATGGGGGGCTGGCACTGGCCCTAATCCATATCGTTTGCTGATCTTAGACACGCGATAGATTCAACATGATTCAACATGATTCAACATGATTCAACATGATTCAACAATCATTATATGATACAGCATTTTTTCCAACTAGAAAAGACGCTCAACATTTAAGGGATGTTGCATTTGCTTGCTGATCTTTCTCGCCGTGGTGCTACCCAGGGCCTAGGAATCCGCTTGCAAGGGTCAGACCGCAAACTGGTTTCCCTGGTGACAGCATTTGGTCGCCCCCAAACGAAGGACTACTTAATTCCTTTGACGGAGCTCAAGCCCATGTTGGATTTGGGAGATGATTCCTTAGGCCTTTGTAGTTGGGCATGGGTGGGCTGGACATTTTGCAGAGGATAGGATATATCACCACAGTGGACCCACAGCTATGCTTGAGAGTCTCGACATATCATAATATGCGTATAACATCGTATAACATAATGTGATATTATACATATATATTATATATATAATATATATATATTGTTTTGATGTTTTGACGCTCGGAGGCTCCTGGAAAGCTGGTGGTCAAAGGTGCCAGTATTTGCTAGAATTTTGTTCGATCTATTTTGAATGTGATTATCGTGATTGAATACTTTCTGATACTTTCTGTAAGTGAGTGGTATCAGACCTGGTATCACTCGTATAGTCTGGCACAGTGCCAGAGCGCAACCATGGTACCCTTTTTGCTTGCATGACTCTTCACATGCTGAGGTCCCAGTTCAGTGTAGCCGGACGTTGTTATCGTTGGGCTGAGGTGTATATCCAATTTGGCTGTGCCCCTATCTCAACAAGCACCACGAAGTTCGGAGCATACATCATCCTCATTCCGACAAAGATGAAATGTATATTGACGCAACTCGGCAGAGCAAGAGTTCAAAACAGTGCGGGACAGGGATGGGCAGTTTGCTCTGGAGATCACGACCGCAGTTTTTCGAAGGTGCTCTCCTTCGTGACAGAAATTTGCAGTAAACAGATGTAAACAGATCTGTTTATTGGAAAGAGGCCTCTCTAATTGCCGGTGCATTGTTTTCAGCACGACGTGCAAACGGCTAACGGAGCTGTCCAACTGAATCTGCATACGTAGATTCTTCATGATTCTTCGCCACTTGCACTCAAGTCAGCCTGTATCAACACAGTGGGTGGATCCATCGTGGAGTCGTTGACTTGAGGGTGTTTGATATTTTTGGACTCTCAAGACTGGAGATATGTCACAGCAATAGTCGTTACCATCGTTACCAGCCATTGATCAAATTCTAGGTGGGCTACTACGGCCTGCCATCAGTGGTGAATTTTGACATGAAGTCTGCTTTGCGGCGGATCGAAGATTGGCTTCTGCCACGCAAAGGCAGCTTCAGTATGCTTTAACTGTTGAGAGGAAGATCTTCAGTGCCGTCATGCGCTGACCTATGTAATCACTTGGAGGATGTAAGTCCTAAAAATGTTCTAACATCAAAAGCCAAGAGTGTATGAAGCCTTGCAAAAGGAAGCACCCAGTGGTACCCAAAGCCTTGTGGGTTAAAAGTTAAAAGTTAAAAGCATGTTCTCCCCATCAGTCTTGATTGCTCTGGGCTCTCATGCTTTGGTTGGGTCTTGTTGAAATGTCGGGATCCGCGTTGTGTTGCTGAAGAGCTGTCAAGCCGAGAGGCTTTGTGATGCTCTACGCCCTGCACACTTTGGGAGAGAAAGACTTGCTACTGGGCGACTATTGGACCTTCTTTCACACCCTGTGTCTTGTGGTTTGACCTCTTGGTTCATCATGTATTCATCATATTAATCCCTCCTTCTTTTCACCCAATCTTCAATTTGATCCTCTTTGGTGGTATGATGTGGTATGATTCCGGACTTGGATTAGCAAATTTTAGTATGTAGGCTAGCGAGATGTTCACACGTTCATCTTGATCAGGGAACAACAATGTGGATGTCTGAAATTTGATAATTCTGAAACAAGCTACTAAACTTTTCAGCCTCCTGTGACATCTTGTGACTGGTTTGTATGGAAGTCATTTTGACAGAAATGTCACTCCTGGGCATAGCATGGTTGATAGACGACTTATTCACTGGCTGAAATGTAGGAATGTCCACGTCACAAATTTGGAGGTACCTCTCTCAAATTTTGGGGGGTCCTAAGCATATCGGCTGTTTGCCACTAATTACAGTAGTCAAAGTTAGTGACTCTGAAATCTGGTCCAAGCACAGTGTGTTTTTTCGTGCAGAATTCCTCAGAGACTATGCTTTGTTGTAGGTTGTAGGATGCTGTAGGGTCCCGATGTTGCGGCAGTACTGCAGTATGATGAATAATATTGAATAATGAATAATGAATAATCATTTGTTTCCCATTCACAAGGCGACGGATGTTCAGCTTCGCAGGGGCGCTCAGTAAGCCAGTTCCAAAGTGTCTGGAAGTCAAGAGATTTCAAGAGGTCAGTTGAAGAAGGGTGAAGCTGTACAATATTGTACAATCATGGGTCAAGGGTCGTTGAGACATGATGATGTTTTGCAGATAGCATCTAAGAGTGGCTGGTGGTGCTTAATACTAGATAATACAAGTATATAGCAGTACATAACATTCTTAGCAGTACATTGTTCTGTGACAATTTTGGCAGGAGGCATACGATCGCGTTCGCAGCCGAATGGGCTCCGCCTCGATTTTTCCCACCATCGACGAGAAGGCGGTGGAGTCAGTGTGGGAATGTGTGGGATCGGTGCCCATTCGCAACAGCCAACATTGCAACAGATACAGCCAATTGCAACAGATTATTCTACAAAAAGGATCAAAAAGGTACAAATAAATCATAAATCAAAAGCTATATGTATTGAACACTGTGTTGAACTGTGCTGACAGTTTGTATAGATGTGCCCCGATTCCAATTCTCCAAAATTGTCAACTGGATGTCATGTGGTCGATTTTGCGCGGTTTTGTTTGTGTGTCGTCGTTAACAGACGTGAATTGTCACATGTAGGCCATGTAGACAGTAGCCTGCAAATACCACTGGTTTTCTGGATCACCCCTAGGCAGCATGGCTAAAGGACTCGGCTTGTCCAATGGGCTTGTCCAATGGCAGCCAAGGTTCGAGTCGGATGAACATGGACGTGGGTCGAATGCACATTGGCCCCTGCATCCCTGGTGAAAACAGACCAGGTGCGGAGCTTTTAGGTTGCTAGTGGCACGATGTGGCACGCCAGTGCTACAAGTCATACCTATCACTGCCTATCACAAGAAAAACACAATACGATTTAATATGCCAATATGCAGAGAAATTACGTCGTGGTTTAGGAGGTTCTTGGATTGTGAACCAATGTGAACCATATGGACCATAATTTGACCCTGTGGACAAAGCTGGGCTCTGCAGGGATTGAGGTCTTCTCATGTGCTTGTATTCAGGAATCCATCCAGGGATGTCCATGGTAAACAGCTGGGCTCCATCTCAGCAATTGGAACAGAAGGTTTGGCATCCCACTACGTCATGCTCATGTGAACTTGTCCCAGGGGTGTAATTAGGTGAAGGTGTCCCAGCCTTTCGCTTTGTGCCACAGTTGAGGCAGAAGAAATGAGCACTTCAGTTCTCAATATGCTCAATAGTTCTTAGATGTTCTTAGTATATATTTCTTGGCAAGTTTCTCAGTTGGATTGAGCCAGTCATGTTCTTCTGCAGATTTGCGATTGCCATGGATATAGACCATCACTCACATGACAATGCTTGCCCTCGCCGAACGCCCGTGCGGCTACCAAGTGCTATCAAGTCCGTGATTTCATGCTAGGCTTTTCCCACGTGTTTTTGCTGTAAGAACAAGTTTAAAAGGCTCTCATTTGCAAGAAACCCCACCTTGGGATGTACACAGAAGATCACAGAAGAGTGTTAGTACGTGCAATGCACGAACTGCATCCATTTCAGTCCGGGTCCTGCTAGTTACTGTAGTAGCCCTAGAAAATTCCTCGGATTCTTGCACCCCCATTTGTGTGCCAGGGTGGGAGAGTCATCGTTGCAGTGGCAATGGCCAGAGTGAGTGGATCTGGATTTTCCAATTTCGAACAATTTGGATGTTGCTTTGCAATGCTTTGGACGAGATTTGAGAAGATGCTGTTTGTTTCTTGTTTGCTTGAGAAGGTGTTCAGAAATCATGGATTGCACTGCTGCCAAAGCCACTTTCTCAGACTGTCCATTCTAGATGCATTGATTGTGTATCCTGGCCAGAAAGGATCTGAAATAACAGTCAGAAGCAAGAACTATTGAAAGATATTGAACGATATTGAAAGGCAGTGAAAAAGTAAGAACGCATTCGCATCTCGTCCAGCAATAATCCATAATAATCCTACACCACCTGCGGAGTTGGTGGCACGACTTCTCGATGATACACTCAGAGAGAAATGTTGCCAGCTTGTGTTCCATGACCCGAAAGCTTTGCCATCCAGGGCCATCCATGTGGTAGGGGAGTGTATTTGAGGGCGGCTGGAATCTAGGTAACAGCGAGCTAAGCCGCCACTGTGCAAGGCATGCGTGCCTTAGACCCGCGCCTGACACCGAGACACCACAGCGAATTTACCATTTTACGGTTTTACCTTTTTGCGGCACGCCTTGGCAAAAAACGTGCCTTAGACCCGCGCCTGACACAGAGACACCACAGTGACGGCTTAGCAGACACTCGGGCTTTCTCTCGTTTGCTGACTGGGACCTGAGTCTGCTGCAGAGTGCTTTTGCTTCTATTTGCTCTAGCAGCTCTAGCATCTAGATCAAGCGCCCTAGGAAGTCTCGTTCTAAGGTCTTTGCCGCTGCAGGGGGAAGCTAACTTATGCCACGCTCCAACGCTTGTTGGATTGATTCAAAAATCAATATTCCATTTGTATCCATTTGTTTGAAACGCCAGTTAATGAGAGCAGTAAGGACAACTTTCAATCTCTTGTCTGAAGCAGGACTTTCCATGGATCCAAACGGCCTACAGATTAGATGACATGATGGTTAGACCTGGCTAGTAATTACAGAGAATACACGGCTCTAAACAGTTGCCTGCAGCCCACAGGACATGCTCACACCAACACAACTTCATCGTACTCTGAGCTAAACAGACTTTTGCTGCATTTTATTTGTCGGGTAAGTTCGACTTGAGTGGTTTTGTTTTTCTAGGTTGATGGTTGATGTGCATGAGTTCGATCGTTTACATAATGGGATCGATGAAGGTCTGACATCAACATGCATGCTTCGCCGTTGCCACTTGATGCAAAAATAGAGAATACCTATAGACTAGATAATTTGATATACCTATCGAAAGTGACTAGTTCGTTGTATGGTCCGGTGTAACTCATGGAGGATATAGTGTGAGTGTGATTTAGTGATCAGAAGACCTCGAGAAACATTTCTCTGTAAGCCTCAGACGCTTCGACGTCTTCCCACTGCAGCGGCGTTTTGACGCTCCATTTTGAGTGGCACGTCTGCCGTGCCGCCTTGTGGCCAGTTCGTCAAAAATGATATGTTCATCAGTTCATCACTATTGACGGCACGGAACTCTTTGCCGGGGTGAATCGTCTCTGATTCGGCTGCTGTGCACATGAGCCCAAGAGGAGGTTCAGTGCCCAGTTTACCTCTAACGAAGTCCACAGCCAGAGCACCACATGGACACCATCGCCAAACATCACCAAACATCTCCAAACATCGTACGGCAGCACCAAGTCACTGTGCTGGATGAGTTTTCAGCTGAAACTCGAAGTCTGTTGACTGTGATTTCCGGAACAACCCCATGTAGTCTGATCGAATTGTAATCATGGATAATCATGGTCACTAGCAAACTCACAGGTTGGTATCCAGCACTGTACAACACCACTTTACATTTACTGCACTCCGACATCAACAAATCCATGCATGAATTGATGTACTGCTGATGTTGATTCCGTTCGGTGCTGGATGATTTCATTGTACCCCCAGGCATGAAGACTCGCTTTGACTGTTGGTGCATGATGATAGCCTTATTATGTCGTAAAAACTGTAACTATTGTGACTGACAAGGACAACCTCAGCCGTTCAAGCTGCCTCTTTAAGATGCATATTCCAGTATCAGTTGCACTTACTATTTATTTACAGGGACATTGACAGAACCAGCGTGAGCTTTTGGACTTCTGTTAAAAAGATGTTTGGTCCTAAGTCAGGGGTTGGTAACTGTCCCATTTTGGGTATATTGGACATCACCTTATAGTAGCCATTATAGACCATATACCTAATGGTTGGGTGATGTTCAATGGGGACATTTAATGAACCATGCTAAGTGAACCAAGTGAAGCAAGGACATCTTTGACTCACTGTACCTGTCACATGATCCGACAAGATCCGACAACCTTGTCCCGTGGCTGATCTGCTGGCTGAGCTCATGGCTCGGAAAGAGCAGGCAATGCAACGCATTCCAAAAAGACGCAGATCGGAGGATCGGCGGATGGTTGTTCAATGCTGTTCACATTGTGGTTCACATTGGTTGATTATATATGATTATATATATAATATAATAATTTATAAACACAACATATATGCCCGTGGGATACCGTGGGATGTGTTTGGAGTCCGGCCTGGGCCTGCAATGAGAGTACGAAGTTGTGAAGCGTTTTTTTGTTTTGCTCAAGGAACGTCAATGAATTGAAGAACATACAACGAGAATCAATGAGATGATAGTTGTTGAGAATTGGCGTCACTCTGCATGTTGGTGAGGCATGATGTTGGTCCGAAGATTGAAGCTTTGGCCATGAAACGGTGTGTTGCAAGTGTAAGTGAGTGGAAGTGAGTGTGTGTGTGTGTGTTTGTGTATGTGATAGTGTGTTTGCAGTCTACTCGCAGCACTCATGCGGTTAGTCGACAGCAGTTTGCAGACCTTTCACTATCTTTAATCACAACCAAATCTTCCGCGCATGTCGTTTGAGCGGCATCAACCCAATGAGCGATGGAACAGATTAGAGCGCATCAGTTGCTTGCATTTACTCAGCTGTAGTTGATTGCGGAAGAATGCTTGGGGATCTCATGAGATGTGGGAGGTTTCGTGTGATATCATCATTGATTGGCCAAGCACCATGCTGGAATGGGTGAAAGATGTGAGAGATTGGCGGAAACGACCTGGACGGATCTGGACGGTGTTGATATGTATTGTAATATTATTTAATGCTATGTATGTATGAATATACTTATATGTGTAGTGAAGCTCTGTCCTTTTTATTTGCAGGTGCCAGACGAAATACCACACTGCACAAGCCATACCTGCAGAAATTGTGAAGTAGTAGCAAAGACATGCAAAGACAAGGAATCAGGCGCGAAAGTGCCCAAAGCAAAGCAACATGTAAATTTAGACGATATTTGGATATATTTGGATCTACTTCCGAAGAAGCAGCTATTTTTTCACCGTAAGCATGATCATGTAAGGATGCCGAAAGATTGTAATGGGCATACCTATCCTATGATATTGTCACGATCATCCCATCATTCGGCTAAGGACTTGACTTGGCGGCTTTGCGCGGAGCCTTCCCACCCCTGGCCAAACGCAAAGATGAAGCAGCTTGGCACACCGCCATGGATCGCCATGGCGTTCCGGCGACCCGAAAGAGTCCGTTCTGCCCCAAGAAAATGTGTAGCCGACAGGTCCGACAGGTAACCGTCGTAACTTCAAGACCACAGAGACCCACAAAGATTGCTCGGACCACGGGTCCTTTCTCATCCCTGCAGTTTGCACAATGGGCTGTACATGGCTGTACTGTTCATAGAGTAGTCCCAAACTCACAGCGGATGCAATTTCGATCTTGCATCCGGTTGTTTTTCTTTTTGTAGCAACTGATCACTGAGGGAAGATCCAGATCATTCCAGATCCTTTCAGATCCATCCAGATCCTATGTTCCTGTGATATCATGAAACCAAGGCACATTCCAACAGCTTCCAGAACGGTCGGAACGGCCAGGGCAGTGACAGCAATGAGGTGCACGAGCTAGAGCTGAGCAGGGAGGAGCGTCTGGAGAACATTCAAAGAATCTCGGAATATTTCGGCAGCTGACAGGTTGCCACAAGGCCAGTTTCCAGAAGATGTGGCATGTTGGAAATTGTTGGAAGATGTTAAGATGGTTGATGAATTTACTAGTAGGTTTATGTATGTTTATGTAAGGTAGATATTCAATATTATTCAATTATGTTTATATTTATTATATGAATATGTATTATTAAGGGCTGCCATCCACTGCCGCCTGTCAATGTTGTATTTTGGACGTATAAGTTGTTTGAAGTAAGTGTCTCAGTCGATGCTTGCAGGCTGTTTGGTTGGTTGCTTGGGCTGCTGCTGTTTATGGTGCATGTTTCACTTGCAAATGAGTTAAGACAGTGATGGAAAATGCTGATGCAGCAAGAAGGGAGACAGGGCCGCGTTTTGTTTGAAGATGTTAAGGGGACCTCTTGGGGCCCCAGTTCTAGAACATGATATGTCTATGTTGATGCATATGTATATGTTCATTCACATTTCTTGTACAGTAGTTTGAAGCTCGGCTCTTGAAAGAAGAGCAGCCACTGAATGACATTTAGGAACGTCAGTGAGTAGAATGAAACCAAGCCCAGAAAATTTCATGGCGAGAATTCTGTCAGAAAAAACATCTTGGGAGAAGCTTGGCTTAGGGGAAAGGATAAAAAGGGAGGCAGTTCATGACGTGAATGTGAAAGTATGTGCCCCGAACTCTATCAAGTGTGGCAAAGCTAGCGTGAAAATGTGAACTGCTCATTTCAGGCATGAATGAGCGGGAAGTCCGTGAGTGTTGAAATAAAGGAAGGGGCGCCGTCGTATAGAGGGCCATAAGGTGTTGTGTGTGTGTGTCTGTGTGTCTGTGTGCGAGTGCATGTGCGTTCGTGGGCGCGCACGTGAGCGGGGAGCATGAGGTAGCAGGAGATACACCCGAAGAGGGAGTGGAGCCCTGAGTAGAGGCCATACATGCTCCCGAACAGGGAGGCCTCTGCAAAGGGGCTATTATGATGGAAAATAGGGAGGATGCGGAGGTGGGAAAGGGAAGAGAGGCAGACGAGAAGGAAGGAGGGGAAGGATGTAAAGATCAAGTCGGGAAGTATACGTGTGTGTGTGTATGTGCATGCGTGCGTAGTAGGAGCTGCTGGCCGTTGTTGCTGCTGTTGTTCTAGGTATTGCCGTCACTGTTGTTGTATATAGCTGGTCTTGCTGTTGTGGCACTTGCTATTACCGGAAACTCTTCTTCCCTGGCGCGCTCGTCCTTGTGTCGGACGGGGTCGGCGGATATATAACTTAATATAGATTATATATAATATAATAAAAAGAAAACTGTTTGTATATCTTTTTATAAAGTTTATATTTCTTTGAAACCCTAGTCACAATCGATGAGTACAGTAACAGCACCAGTCAATGGGGGACATAACTAATCCTACTATACTATTTCCGTCTATATCCTATGTGCCTATGAGTCTCTATGTGTGGGTAGAATCAGCGTTTGAATAGCAGACGCGAGTCCAACCCAAACACATTGCACAGCGCGTAGGATTTCAAATTCTAGCAGTAGAGATCAAACAAACTATTAAAAGATATTATAAAATGATCAAAGAATGCTGCAAGCTGCTGCAAGCTGCTGCAAGCATAGTACTCCATCTTACTGTGGTTCCAGTATGTTCCAGTGATGTTTCGCCTGAAGCCACCTTGTCCCAAGGAAAATTGAGCACGGCTAGCACGGGTCGACGGCTTGTCAATGGACAGGCGCTGGAAGATGCTGAGTGTGGCCGGGAGTCAAACTGTTGTTCCGGATGCAGATGCTTGATGATGCTTGGACATTGTTCTCAACAAGACCATTGGCAAAGAGGTATGTAGATGCACTATCTGTACTCATTTGATATTATATATACAATATACACATGCATTTACATATTCACCTATATATACACATCACATACCCTACAAATCAATCTTATGAAATCTTACATATAATATATAGTTTATATACAGCTGTACGAAGTATAGAGAGAGAGAGAGATTCTCAGCGCCATGACATGAACCGATATTTTGCCATAGTAGTATCTGAAAATTGTCGTGGTATTCTGGTTGCGTTGTCCCCTGGTTG